GGAATAGGCCGCCGACATTGTTAATATTAAGAATATTAATGGCATGTCCATACCATGATTTGTGATATGTAATAATGCTTTTTATTTTTTTTGTTCGATAGTGAATGTTTTAGAGCATCGGTAATAGTACTATGATGTGAGTGTCTTAAGGAATGACATAATAGTCTGAGTTTTCTGTAAGTAAGAAGTCTGTGAAGGGGGAGAATGTTGCAAGAATTCCAAAGATTGAAATTAGAAATGATATAAGTGTATCTGTTATTGAAAATGTTTTTTAAAGATTTATTAATAAAAACTTGGGTTTTATTTAGATTAGAATTAATAATGTCCCAAGTTTCAATGCCTATGTTAATGAAGATATAATGTAAATTTTAAAAATTTGAATTTATTTGATAAAATATTAGTATGCCATAATTTATTGAGAGAAAAATATTTAGAAGTAGCTTTAGTAAGTTTAGAAGATATGTCTGGTTTAATTGAGCCTTTATAATCAATGCCTAAATAATTAAGGGATTTAGTAAAAAAATATTTTTGTTATTAAATTTTAGATTAAGACCTAGAGGGGAAGTAGAAAGTATTTTTGTTTTATTAAAATTAATTTTAAGATTCATTTGAAGGAGAATTAAAGAAATTTTTGTAAAAATATTATTAATATAATTAAAATTTTCGGTAATAACAGATGTCATCAGCGTAACAAAGCCAATCGACGTTGTGGAAATTGCAAGAATTAATAAGATCACTAATTATTAAATTTAAAAAGGAAGGAGATAGGGGACATCCTTGTTTAATGTCACATTCGATTTTGAAGTAATATGAGGATAAGTTATTGTGTTTAATATTAACGAGACTATTTTCATAAATATACACTATAATTTTTATAAGATGTATAATAATTTTGTATTTGAAGAGAATATTCCATAGGTATTGATGTTTTATCGAATCAAAGGCTTTTGAAATGTCAATAAAAATAACATAGGTGTCATTTTTGTAAATATGATCTTTTTGGAGTCTTATTTTGAGCGAGGTAATTAGTTCGATGGTATTACGTCCTGGTCTAAAGGATGCAATGGAATTATGAGTATTTTTATCAATATCTTTAGAGATAAGGTTAAAGATGTAAGTAGTATAAATTTTGTAAAAAGGGGAAGAGAGGGTAATGCCTCTGTAATCATGGATTGAGGAAGGATTTTGGGATTTAGGTAAATTGATGATGATGAATTTACACCAATTGGTGTAAAGGATTGTTGTACCAAATTTTATTTAAGGTAGGAAAAAAAAGATCAGTAATAGTTTCTTGAAATATTTTTAATATTTCATTATGGATATTATCAATAGTGGATTTATGGTTTTTGAGATTTTTTATTATATTAATAATGTCATTTTTATTAAGAGGAAAGAGAGGGGAAGAAGTTGATGTGAAGAAAAAGAATTGGGACAGGGAAATTTATTGTTAAAAATAGAACTATAGTGATCAACAAAAATATTTAATTGGTCTTCGGAATTTTTTTTTTAATGATTTGACCAATTTTTATATTACTGATTTATTTTATCATTTGAGGAGGTAATAAATTTTAAGGAGTTGAAAGCATTGTAAAGGTCATTAGTACGTTTGAATTCCGAAATTTTTTTAAGTTAATTCCTAAGAAAATTTAGTTTATCTTTTCTAATAGATTTTTTTATAATATTTAGTTTAGCTTTTATATGGTGTTTTTTTCTAATTTTTTTAAAATTTATTTGGTAGGGAGTTGATAAGGTTAGAGGTTTGAGAACTTATCCAGTCTGGATAAATAGTTTTAATATTGAGATGAAGGTTGGCAGAATTAATAATGGAATTATGAATATTGTTCCAAGAATTATTAGTATTGATTGATTTAAGGCTTGTATGATATTTATTGGCTAAAATAGGAATATTTAAATTATTAATATTGTATTTTTTTTGATGTAGAAGGTATTGATTTTTTTAAATTAGAGATATTAAGGTTTCTTAATAGGGAAGATTTAATGAAGAGCTTTAGAGCGATTATCTGATAGGAAATTGATATCATCAAGAATTAAAAGATTTTTTATAAAAAAATTCATTTTAATGCTGGTAAGGACAAAGACAAGTTGACTTTTATATAAGGAATGAGGTTTAAAGTAAGTAAAATAATTATTATTTTTTTGTTTAAAGAAGGTGTTAATTATCCTAAGGTAAAATTTTTTGCAAATTTCAATAATATTTTTGCCATTGATTGGTTTTTTGATCGTGGGCAGCAAAACCGATAGTATTATTTATATGTTCATTACCCATTTTCATATTAAAATCACCACCTATAATAATAAAATGATTTGTGTTGATTTGTTTGAGGTGGTAGTTTAGAGAGGTAATAAATTTAGGATATTCCGAAGGATTAGCGGGAGCATAGATGTTTATAAGATGAGTAATTTTACCTTTAGTTTTTAGTGTGATGGAAGCGATATGGTCACTGATTGGTATAAAATTAGATGTAAATTTTAAAATAGAATCTTTAATGATAAATTATAATTGAATATTGTGTAGCCTCTTAATTTTTTAATTAAATTATTATTGATGAATGTTTCTTGTGTCATTAATATAAAGATATCTTTTCCTCCATTATTTTTCTGAGGATAGGGACTATCTAGGAATGTTATAGGAGTAAATAATTAATTTTTTATTTTAAGACATAATTTTAAGAAAAAGATAAGTATAAAAAAATTAAGATTTGGTTTTTGTTAGATAAATTAAAAATGAAAGCAGACGATTTTATTTTATTTAGAAAGGAAGAGGAAAAAAACAGACGATTTAGTTTAAAAAAAATAACATGTTGAATGTAAGGTTATTGAAAAATAAGGTTAATTAGTTGTAGGGTAAAGAAAATATTAGACTAAAAAGTTATATAAAACAATAAATTATTATAAAAAGATGATAATTAAATTAAATAAATTTATCAAGGTTTTGAGAAAATATTTGTTAATAGGTAATAGAAATAAAAAGTTTATTGAAAAATGAATGAATTCATTAAGGGAGGGGAAAAAATAAAGAAAGAGTTATATATAGGGATTGGAGATTAGAAATAGGTTAGGATAAGGATGGTTAAATAGTTAATATACTTGGTTCTCCTTAATTTGGGTTATGAAAGGATAATATATATATAAAAATTTGAGATATATGTATTGATAAAAATTGTATGTTACAAATTAATATATAAGTTGAGTATCTTGTAGAGAAAAATTTCATTAATGTGTAAGTGGTAATATGAGATGAAGATTGATAAGAGAATCTATAAATAAAAAGATTAAATGAAATAAAATATTAGCCTGAATCTTGAGAGATAAATAGATATTGATTCTTGGATTATGTTTCTTATTCACATCATTTATTTCACTCATATTCTGGATATTGAGGAATATTTTAAATCGATTTAACATCAGCCATTTTTCCGCAATTATACATAATACCTCTCATGATCATATATATTCCTATATTTCGGTATGAATATTATAACCCTGAATTCATAGTGGCGCGATTGCGATTTAGACGCGATAAATACAAAATACAGTAAATATGATATGGCATTCATAGTTACCGAACGCGCGATTTGATACGCGAAAGCAAATCGCCGCGATTTTTTCAAAACTCAAATCATTTTGTGTTTATCGCGAGATTTTGAAATAGTGCTTCTTTAAATACAGATTTTGGTAAATATAGCTCAAAATTTTTGATTTTGCGCTACTTTTAAATTTAGCGCTAATTTTTTATTAATTGAAATGAATTCAATGACAACCTTTTTTGATGATATAAAACCAAAGGATCAAGTTAAAATTATGATTTAAATTTAATTTTTTTAAGAAAATAGATAAAATGCTTTTATAGATACAAATGATATATTTAATAAAATAACAGGAGGTATACATGAATGTAAAATATAGCATTTTAATTGATAAAATATATTTATTATTTAGGTGATCACATTGATAGTGAGAATATATCAGATGATATATTTATTCCCAAAGATTCTGCAGCACTATATCTTAGTAATGATTCTGGTAATTAATAATATCTAAAAATTTATATTATCTTTTATATAGAATCTATGTCCTGTGTTGGGTCACCTAGTTATTATTATAAATGTCCTAAGATAAAGAACAATGATATGGGTAATTTATATTTTTTGATTTATTGATAAATTTTAAATAGATGACTATAGGAAATTAATGAAAATAAGAAGCAGATAAAGCATTAATAACCTTGGAAATGCTTAAAAATAAATCAACAGAAGATGCAATATGTTTAATGTTAAAAGAAAAATTATATGATTGTACCAAAGAGGAAAAAAAAGAAATAACAAATAAAATACTTGATATTATAAAAGATTATTGATTAAAATTATTTTGTATATATTTTTGTTATTTGAAATATATATTTTATATGTATTTATATTATTTGAAATAAAAATTTTGTGAAATACATTGAATGATATAATTATTCCCAAAAGTCCTGCATTAATTAAGTCTTGTACTGAGTTTGGTAATTAATAATGTCTAAATATATATAATTTATAATGAATGATCTTTATCTTAGAGAAAGTTTAATGACATTGGTAATTTATGTTAACTTGCTTTATAAAAATATTTTCAATAGATGAATTTAGAACAACTATATAGCTTTTTTAGTGACATATTCCTACATAAATATTTTATGAGTTTAAACTATATTAATAATAACTTTATTTTTTATTATAATATATATAAAATACAAAACAAGATATTTATAAAAATTAGATGATTGTACCAATCAGGAAAAAAAAGAAATAACAATAGTATACTTGATATTATAAAAGATTATTGATTAAAATTATTTTGAATATATTTTTGTTATTTGAAACTATATTAATAATAACTTTATTTTTATTATAATATATATAAAATACAAAACAAGGTATTTATATAAAATACAAAACAATTTATATAACATACAAAATAAATATCTATAATATGGGATTTTTATATAAATATAAGCATAATAAATTTCTATTAAACTTTGCAATATTTGTTGCTGATTTAATTGATTGTGGTTTAAATAAATTTTCAGGGGGTGATTTTATTTTAGGATTAAAAGAAATAAATCTTTCCTTATCAATAATTATATTATGTAATAATGTGCATGTTTTTATGATATATTCAGTAAGTGATAGTTTTGTATCCATAGGACGATCAAAAATCATCCATTTAGCTCTCAAGATGCCAAATGCACATTCGACTTGTATCCTAGCACGAGATATCCGATAATAAAGGCCTCTTGTTGAGGGGTAAGGATACCTTAAAATAATAAGGGAAACAAATTTTAACATATAACTAATAAAATTTTAAATTCCTAATAATTAAAATAATGGCCAATGCCCAAATAATTGCTTTAATATATTATATAAATATGATATAATTAAGTTAATATATTCTTTTACTATACCTTTATAAGGCTTTAAAATATAGGACTTCAAAGGATAGGCATCATCAGTGACAAAAAAATGTGGGAAAATGAGGCTGGAATTCGGCAATCTTTTAGAAGGATGTAATTGTATCTCTCCATTTTCTATCATTTTATATATTTTGAAGTTAGCAAAAACACCTCCATCAGATTCACTGCCAAAACTTCCTACATCGACTGTTATAAATTTGCCTTTGGCATCCACAATTCCTTGTTTTTAAAATATATAAATAAAATATTTTTTCAAAAATTATATTTTTGTAATTATCAAGTTTTCATTACAATGTTTAATTAATATGGAAATATTTAATTAGCATAAATAAAAAATAAATTCACAAACCTTGTAAAACCACAGAGAAAAAGTGTTTATAATTGTAGAACCCACTGCCAAAATGAGGTGACTTTCTAATTCTGCAGTGTTTTCCATCAATACATCCCACACAATTTGGTAAATTCCATTTCACTTCAAACTCCTTTTAAATAATAATATATATAAATATAATATACACTATATTATACCTTTGCTATCCTCTCAAAGTCAGTGAGAGTAGGTGGTGGCATATGTTTGCCTACCAAAGTTTGCCATATAGCTTGGCTTGTTGTCCTAATTATTTTCTGGACTGTAGATATGCCTATTTTGAAAGAATAGGCCAAAGTAGGATGTGTTGGGTTTGGAGCTACGACCGCGTGCGGTTCTACCGTGGGATAGGGAGTGGGTTCGACAGAATTTGTGGGACCGGGATTTTCAGGTTGGTTGACGTTGGGACCGGTTTTTATCTTAGTCATCATCCAGGATAATTTTAGCAATTTACTTTATTGTTTAAATGTCACAATTCACAAAATAAATAAAATTACGCACAATAATTATTCATAAAAGAAAGGTATTTTAAATTTCACCAAAAAAAGAAAATCTTTAATAAAAAATATATCCAAAAAAAAGGTATTTTTCCAACCTTTATAATTTTTGAAACAAAGAGAAAAAAAAGGTTGTTATTTAATCGCGATACAATCATTCTTGAAACTGGTTAGATCCAGTTTCAAATGCCATATAAAAATAAGGTATAATATCAATTTCATAACAAAAAAAAGAAGATGGGAAAACAAAAGAAGCAAGAGGAGAAAAACGTAAAGAAAAGAAATAAGTTATACGGGACAAGTGTGGAGATAGAACATAACAGGATATCTACAGCCTGTTGGTAAATATGTAAATAAAAAATATATTTAAATAATAAATTGCTTTATTTTTACCTTAAACAAATCATAAGCATTTCTTCTACACTTATAGGATGTTTAATAAAATTTGTACATTTATTATATAATAAAGGTTTTATATATTTTAGTATATAATAAAAGGTTTCCTAAATTAAAATGAATTATAGATAAAATTACTTTAGTCATTCTCATATAGTTGAAAAATTAATGCTCATTTTTTAATAGTTTAGGAAAGAGGACATAAAACCTCTTTTGTTTTATTAAAAGATAGTATCTTCTCCTCTTCAAGATCATTCTGTAAAAAAATAATAATTTGAGGATGGATACCATCTTGAATTAGTAACACTTTGCACTGCACTATAATGAAAATCTCAGCGATCGATCTGCTGATCGGTCGCTGCAATATCGCGGCGAAATCGCAATCGCATTCGCTCTTCACTATGAATTCAGGGTAACTGGTTTTATTTTGTAACAAATAAATTTTTTAAAATATATTACGGTGTAACTAAACTGTGAATTGACAGTAAACTGAGAATCGACAGGTAAAATTTATTTATGGCTTATCAATTATATTTTAAAAATATAAATAAATTTTTTTATTATATAAATCATTTATCTAATAAGTAAAGAATATAGAAGAAAATTCAGTCCATAAATTTATAATATGTATAAAACAGATATATTATATAGGTAATATAAAACCCATAATAAAACTTTAAAAACATAATTAAAATTCCGTTAGATGGCTTAATAAATTTAAAGTTTAGTTTTTAAATAAAAATAATATGAATATTAGGAGCATGATTCTCTGCTCTAGATTAATTTATTTGATACAAACTTATATAATCATAAAATAAAAAATTTTTGAAGTTTCCATCATTATTTCTAGTTATAATGTGCATTCTAAGTTTAGTCATTTTTTTTTAGATTTTTGGGATTTAAAAAATATATTATTCTTGAGTCATTTTGTGTAAACTAATTTATATATAGATCAAAAAAAAATTTGATTAGTCATTTTTTTTAGATTTTTGAGATTTAAAAAATATTATATTTTTTTACTCATTTTGTGTAAACTAATTTATAAATACATCAAAAAAAAAATTTGAAGTTTCCATTATCTATATTATAATTTTTCGATCTCCTCACTACGTCATCGTGACGTCATGTCATCGCTACGTCATGTCATCGGTACGTATTTATTTTTATTTTTTTTATTTGTTGATTTTATTTATTTATTTTATACAAACAGATTAATGGAATTTCGAGAATTGATGGTGTACATATACCTAACATGGATTGAGAGATTTGAAAAATCGTCTTTGAATTGATAAAAACAATATTCTATCAACTTTGTAAATATGAATGAAACTTTTTATTTCACTTAATCCTTTCTTTATTTTTTAGATTACCTTATCAATTTTCATCTCATATTATCAATTACACATTAATGAAATCTCTACAAGATACTCAACTTGTATATTTATTTTGAACATACTCACAATTTTTGTCAGTACTTACATTTTTTATACTCACATTTTTCTTTCATAACCAATAATTAAGAAGATAATCAAGTATATTCAAATATTTAAATATTCTTATCCTAACCTATTTATAATCTCCAATCCTTATAAATAACTATTTCTTTATTTTTTTTCCCCTCCCTTAATGAATTTATTTATCACTAAATTTTATTATCTCATTCTTTTCTTTCTATCTCTATTATCTATTAACCACTATTTCTCAAAACCTAATCAATTCCTTTAATTTAATTTTTATAATATAATAATTTATACCTTCTTTTTTCCCCCCTTTTTTAATCTTATTGTTTAATTACCTTACAATTAATTAACCTTAATCTTAATAACATTACATTCATGTTTTTTTTTTAACTTTTAGAATATCATAATAGGCTTGATAAGTTCCCTCAAATTTTTTTTTTTGATGTTAGCCCTCTACTAGAAATATGCATCTAATATTGACCCATCTACTGGTTTTACATTATTTTAATGTTTGTTTAATTTCAACAATAGTTTATTTATATTTTTGCCTGATTTCTTTATTTGTCTAGGCTAGCCCTAATCCCTCACATTGCTACAAAACATGATGAATCTATTATTAAAGATAAGCAAAGAAAATTATGACGATTAAACAAAGGCCTTACCCGTTCTAGAGTTACTAGTAGACAAAATAAAAAGAACTATGCTTCAAATGAACTCATCTAGAGGTTTATTTTTTTTTTTTTATCTTATGTTTTATATCTATGTTTATTTTATTTTCACCCAGTTCTTCAAATTATACTATCACCACTACCACAATCCCTAAGCATCCGCCTATTTTTTAACAAATATAAACATTTAATTCTGTACTATCATTCATTTCACTAGGAGTTAATATAAATATTACTTTATCCGATTCTCTGAGAAACTTTCATGAATATTTAGAGGAATGTTCAAACTTGAATGTAGTACAGTACGGCCAATTTCATCAACTTTATTAATGGAAATATATGCAGTACCAATTTCATCAACTTTATTAATGGAAATATATGCAGTAGTTCTGTCGTGGCCTTTACAACAATACTTACGACCGTTTTATGGTTGAGTTAACATTGTCGTTCATGATTCTATTTTAGAGGGGGATACCAATGCTGATTTTGACATAAATATCGTTTTGCCTTCTTCTTTTACCAGTATCCCAAGGCATAGGCATATCATCTTTATCAGGACGTGTGTTGTACACTGCTTTGTTAATCCGTCATCACTTTCATCTAAAACCCTAAATGATATAAAATTATACATTAATTATTTCCTCTCCAAGATTTATTTTGTCGCTTTTTCTATCAAAAATTAAAATGTCAACAAGGATTTGCTCTTAAATTTATCAAATACATAATAAATAATCCTCATTATTTTTTAAAAAAATTATCCTAAATTTATATGTCAATAAAAAAAAATATCTTAAAAAATATATAAATAATTTGCATATAAGTTTCATTAGTGTTTAATGGCATTTTTGTAATTTAAATAGACAGCATTTTTTTTTATATAACATAAAAAAATATATCCCTTATCAAATACTTTAACAAATAATTTCAGAAATACAAGACATACATTAAATTTATCCGAAAAACAACAATAACCCTATATAATAAACAACATATTTTTTAGATATAATTTAAATTGATTATATTATAAAAAAGTAGAAGAGTCGGTTATTTTAATTTTATTTGTCATGATTCTCTAATAAGTTGTTGCCCAGGCCTTCCCAGTTTCCCTTAATGCGGAATTTACATGTTTTTTTTCCATATTAGACCAATTGGTAAATCAGATATTTCCCGTTCATGTGATGATATTAAAAATCTCCGAGGCGGGAAAAAATTTTCAAAATTATAATGGGTAGGACTGGGCTTGGAACCTCAAAATTAATATTAGCTTGCACCTGACTTTAGAATATCTTTTACAAATTATTAAGAGTTGAGCTGGGCTTGATAAACTTTTTTAAAATTATAAGATCTTGGATGCTTCCTAATATTGTGAGCTTGAACCTGGCATGACATCTATCGTAAAAAATGAATAAAAATTTCATTTCCCGTCATTTTTGACGGGCTTTCTACTAGTTATTTTTGAAGTTATGATGTCCATTCTCAGTTTAGTCATTTTTTTTAGATTTTTAGGATTTAATAAATAATTATTTTTTTTACTCATTTTGTGTAAACTAACTTATATAAACATAAAGCAAAAAAAATTGAAGTTTCCATCATTATTTTTGGAGTTATGGTCAATTCTCCGGTTAGTCATTTTTTTAAGATTTTTGTGAATAAAAAATTTATTATTTTTTTGACTGATTTATTGTAAACTAACTTAGATAAACAAAAATTTTGAAGTTTCCATAATTATTTATGGAGTTATGATGTCCATTCTCAGTTTAGACATTTTTTTTTGATTTTTGGTACTTAAAATATATATTATTTTTTTGACTCATTTAAAATAAATGCAATAAATTATAATTTTTATATCGAAAAACTAGTTTACTTCAATTATAATTTTCCGTCCTTAAAAGGGCCATTGGGTATTTATTTGTCCTTAAAAGGGCCATTGGATATTTATTGGTCCTAAAAAAGATCGTTGGGTATTTATGTTTTAAAAAAGACCTTCGTTATAAATGTTTAATAAAGATTTTATAATAAATGTAATAAAATTTTTAAACCAATTAGAAATAGCAATATTCCACAAATCTTATACATGTAATTTTATAAAAAAGAATTAAGATAAATAGAAATTCATTGTAATAAATAAGGTAATTCAAAAAATAAAATATAAAAACAGAAGTGGGACTTCAAGTATCTTAAAAAACATGCAAAATTATGTTTTATTATTAGTTTCAAATTTTCAAGTTTAAAAAGATAATAATTTTATAATAAAATTAGTAAATATGTATTATAGAAAATGATTTTATAGAGAATGATTTTACAGAGAATGATTTTATAGAAAATGATTTTACAGAGAATGATTTTATAGAAAATGATTTTACAGAGAATGATTTTTTAGAGAGATTTTATAGAGAAATTTTATAGAGAGATTTTATAGAGAGATTTTATAGATAATGATTTTACAGAGAATGATTTTATAGAGAATGATTTTACAGAGAATGATTTTACAGAGAATGCATTTTATATAGAATGTATTTTATAGAGAATTATTTTATAAAGAATGATTTTATAGAGAATTATTTTATAAAGAATTTTATTTGCAATTATTACTTAGACATTACAGTCATAGCGAAAAAAATTACAGCATTTGAAATAATATTATATATTAAAATTGTCTTAAGGTTATACTTGTGTAGTTATTATTGTAAGAAAATTATAATAATCGGCACAGAAAAATAAAACGGTATTCGAAATTTATTGTACTTACATAATATTTTATTCATCAATGAAAAAGTATTGAATTTAGTACCCACTGGGGTAAAAAATAATAAGGTTTTTGTAATTAATAATCAATTTAATATTAAAAAATGTTGGTAAGCTTGATCTCCCATCAGAGTATCGTTATCAAGTTCATTGTAAATTGGTAGACATTGTGCTTGAACGGCCCCCGATGTCACCATAATCTAGAGCTGTCCAGATCGCTATTATCCTTGAATGGCCCACGAGTTCATCTGGCCATTTTACATTTGGTTTATTGGACATCTCCTATCACCCGGCTGTCCTAGCCTGTCGGTGACCGGAGTGGCATTTCTCAGCTCAGAAATTTATCTTATTATATGTCTTTATACATCAGTCAATGAAGAAAAACCTGAAAATTTTTACAGTTTCTTACCAGGATTGAACTTGGGACCTTCGGTTTCCAATTATTCATCATACACCACTAGGTGACCAACGAAATCTAAACTGCCATATTTGAAAGATTATCGGCCTTTTAATCTTATCTATATCTTATGATGATTATTCCATAATAAAATGGTAATAATAATATTTGATGTTTATTATACCCTCTTTAGTTTTTTTATGATAATCCTATTGATGAAAATAGCACTGCTTCTCCACCCGATAACTTAATTAGTTTATCTTTTGAGGTTTATGGTATTAAGAATGAAACAAATGAATTATCACCTAAAAATGTTGATAAAAATTTTGAATCAAAAGATGCAGAAAATGAAGAAACACGCTTGCCATTTAAGCCAAGAATTTTATTAATGGGATTGCCCAGGTATCATTAATAAAATATATAAAATTAATTTAATTTGAGGAGTGGGAAATCTTCCATACAAAATGTTGTATTTCATAAAATGACACCAAATGAAACGTTCTTTTTAGAAGCGACAAAACATCTTATAAAAAATGGTTAGTCATTTATTATTTATTTGAAAATTTATAACATGTTTATCAAACTATATTAATTCTAATATTGTACCTTTTTTTTAAAATTATGGGATATCTAATTTAAATGCTATGAGATATATATATGTACAAAAAAAAATGGGTTCCTTAGTCAACTTGTGACTCATTAGATGGTGTTATATTTTTTTAAATGTATTTTACAAAAAATATCAAAATATGTTGTTTATTTATCATTATATACAAAAATAATTATCGTTTTTAAATGTAGCACAATTTGGCCTAGTGCTGATGATAGATATCATTCACTGCATAGATCTCTGGGTTTGAATCAAAGATTTATCAGTTTTTTCTCTATGATGTTAGTATGGTTTTATGCTATATGATATGACATAAAACTATAAATTGACAAAAAATATTTTTAACAATTTATTTAGGCTAAGCTGTGCCTCCTACATATTATAAAAAATAAAGTATATTGTATTTATTACAATTTAAAATAAATTAAATACTTTTAATTCCAAATAAAATATAAAATCCACAATTTATTTGTAAATATTAAGTTTTTAATTTGAGTTAGGATATCATATTCTAATTTTTGGTTTGCACTAGAGATCTGTAAAGTTTGGCTGAAATATTTTGAATAATTTTTATTCTTGGAATAATTGAAGGTTATTAGTTTTATTTGAAAATAATCTATGTTAAACATTATTAAATAAATTATGAAATTACAATATATAAAATGTACATCATAATTTCCTATAAATATATGGCTATTTCTAAATTATTTTTTTTAACAAAATTTAATTTTTAAATATTGCAAAACAAAAATATAATTGAATCATTTTATAATCACATGGTACCTTAAAAAAATGCCCTCTTTCAATGTTATTATCTATATTTTTTAAAGAATTTTATTTTATTGGAAATAGTTTTCAAGTTCCACACATTTATAAATTATTAAACATTAAGAATCTTTTTATTAAATTTAATAATTATCATATAAATTTTTTTCTTTTTACTATAAAGTAAAAATTTATCTTTTACTTAGTAATTTTTGTTAAATATTTATAAACAAGAGTAGTCATGTTCACTAGTGATCTACATTATGCTTAATTTTTCAAACAGGTATTGCCCAAAACAATATGGTATCCGGGATTTTCTTACAGGGGGGGGGATTTTTTGGGGGCTTCACCCCCAAACTCTCTTATCTTTTAGCTTTCTATTTTTAACTATTATTTACTAATTCGTGCATATGGATATTACAAGCCTATTTTTTATTATTTTAAGTTATGTATATTATATTTAATAAAGTTTTAAATGTAAAGTTGAAATAAAGTTTGATGTCATTTTTTTTTATAAAATTTGCTTTAAAAACTAGCCTCAGCTTAAATTCTCATACAATATAAGTAGAATATAATTTTTTTATTCAAAATACTAATAGTAGTGTGTGTAAAATATTGACTAGAAAATAATTTAAAAAACAAGTTTTTTTAACTTCTTATCAAATACAATATTATATAAAAAATTTTAAAATACTATAATTATAATGTGATTTTTAATTTTCGTGGGAATGTTGCCAATTCATCAAGAATTTCGTTTGTCATTGGAACCAAATCTCTGTGGATATTTAACAGAGAGGGCCCATTTAGCCGAGATTCAGAAGTAGTACTTCGTAAATATGTTTTCGACCTTCTCAAGTTGGAAAAAGTCCTTTCATTCGTACATGTTGTAATAGGCAAACATGCAAGAATATAAAACAACTTCAAGATATTAGGAAATTGAGCCAAGGTTTCTTTACACAGATTGAGCACATCAATAGCGTGCTCAAAAATAGCTAAACATAGTAAATATTTATACCACAATTCGAATTCACTGATTAAATTTATTTCAGTATCAATATCATAGGAATAAAATTTTGCTAAATATTTAATTTTACCATCTTTGGGGGGAATGACTAAAATACGCGTCCCCGAAAACTACTCGTCCCTACGCGTCCCCGGTCAAAACGACTTATTTTTATTATTATTAATAGGAAATCGTATTAAGCTTTATAATATGAGTTAGAAAATGTTTTTTTTAATTTAAAAAAAATACGGTAACTAAATAAAATTTATAAAAATTTATTTTTTTAAAAAATAAACTACGCGTCCCCGGTCAAAATACAGTTTTTTTTAAAAAATAAAAACAGATTCATATTTAACTCATTAAAAGAATACAGAATATGTAAATATTATATTTTAAAGTATTTTATAACTTAGTGATTTTTTCAAAAAACACTTTTTTTTTTCTAAAACAGTACGCGTCCCCGGTCAAAAAACCGTTTTTTTTAAAAATAAAAGCAGATTCATGTTTACTTTTTAAGGCAGAAAATGATATTAATAAAATAAATTTAAAAAAAAATTTTTTTCGAAAAAAATATTTTTTGGCTAAACTACGCGTCCCTGGTCAAAATACAGTTTTTTTTAAAAAATCAAAACAGATTCATATTTAGCTCATTAAAAGAATACAGAATATGTAAATATTATATTTTAAACTATTTTATAACTTAGTGATTTTTTTAAAAAACAGTTTTTTTTTTCAAAAACACTACGCGTCCCCGGTCAAAAAACCGTTTTTTTTTAAAATAAAAGCATATTCATGTTTAGCTTTTCAAGGAGATTCAGAAAATGGTATTAATAAAAAAAAGTTTTTCGAAAAAATTTTTTTTGGCTAAACTACGCGTCCCTACGCGTCCCCGGTCAAAATACAGTTTTTTAAAAAAAATCAAAACAGATTCATATTTAGCTCATTAAAAGAATACAGAATATGTAAATATTATATATTAAAGTATTTAATAACTTAGTGATTTTTTGAAAAAACACTTTTTTTCGAAAACACTACGCGTCCCCGGTCAAAAAACTGTTTTTTTTAAAAAATAATAGCAGATTCATGTTTCAAGGAGATTCAGAAAATGGTATTAATAAAAAAAATTGAAAAAAAAAAATTTTTCGAGAAAATCGAGAAAATTTTTTTTTTGGCTAAACTACGCGTCCCCGGTCAAAATACAGTTTTTTTTAAAAAAATCAAAACAGATTCATATTTAGCTCATTAAAAGAATACAAAATATGTAAATATTATATATTAAAGTATTTAATAACTTAGTGATTTTTCGAAAAAACACTACCCGATGGTATTTTTTACACCAATAATCTTCTGAGTCTAGGCCTTAGGGGGTCAGAATATTTTTATCAACACAAAATATCGATATTAAATAAAAGATAATTAAAATATTTTGTGACTTAAATAATAATATTCACTCTTGGAAGGGTTGGGCTTGGTCTGGGGGTGAAGGGGGGTAAAAAAAATAAAAATGAATATGGGTATTTAATAAAAGTTAATTAAAATAGATTATAATGATAATTGTCACTATAGTAAGCGGGTATAGGCCTTGGGGGTTAGGAATATTCAAGACAAAATATTGATATGGGTATTAGAGATCTGCAAATCCCCGATGCCTGGTCGATTTAAAAATAATAATTTCGGTTCGAGCTGGGTCGGGCATAATATTTTTTAAAAAATTTCGATCAGGGTTTTAATTTTTTAATGTGATATTGCATTTTGTCAAATATTGATATATTTTAAAATTCTTGTAAGAAGTAAGGCTCTAATAGTTTTTATTTATTTTTACAATAAAAAAATTAAATTTTTCTATATTTAAATAAATTTGGGCGGGGCGGGGCTGGCAAATAATTTTCATCTTTTCAGGTCGGGCTCTTCGGAATAAATAACAAATTTTTTGATCTAGCTGGGTTGGGCTTTTTTTACTGGGCTTGAAAGATTAGGCCCACAGATCACTAGTATCAAATATAAGCAAATTAAAATATCTTTTGAAACATTAGTATTTACTCTTGGTTTTAATGGGTTGGACTTTATCCGGGCGAAGGGGGGGGGGGTAAAAATATCAATTTGACATTGATATAATAAAAGGTAATTAAAATATTTTTTGATCATAATAGTAAATATCACTCTAAATGGCCGGATTTAGTCTTGGGCTTCAGGAATATTATTAACACAAAATATTGATATGGGTGTCAATATAAGCTATTTAAAAAATATTTTGACTGAAATAATGGTACTCACTCTTGGTTTTAATAGGTTGGATTTTGTCTGAGGGAGGGTGGGGGGGAGGGGTGGTAGATAATAAAAATTTATAGTGATAATTAATAATTTTTTTGACTGAAATAATAGTATGACTTTTGATCTTATTGGTTGGACTTGGTTTCAGGGAGGGGGGGGGAGGAGGGTGGGTAAAAAAACTAAAAATTTGATTGGGAATCAAATTAAAAGTAATTAAAATATTTTATGATTGTATTGATAATTATCACTTTAAGTGAGCTAGTCAAATTCTCGGAGAAGGGCTGGAATATTATTAGCACATGATATTGATATGAGAATCAAATTAATTAAAATTCTATAATATTAATTTAATTAGTCGTGTCTAGATATTAGGGAGATGGGAGGGGTCAATAATAGTTTTATCAACACAATGTATTGATATGGTTATCAAATAAAAAGTAATTAGAATATCTTTCGACCATAACGATAAGGGGGTCAGGAATATTTTTTTCGACCATAACGATAAGGGGGTCAGGAATATTTTTTTTAACATTAAATATTAATATGGATTAGTGATCTGCAAATCACGGCCCGCACCGGCCCGAACCCATTTATTTTTTTTAAAAAATTCTGCTGGGGTTGAGTCAGGCCTAATATTTTTAAAAAAATTTGGACCGGGACTAGTTGGGCTTATATTTTTAAATATGATATCATTACATTTTGTCAAATAAATTGATATATTTTAAAATCCTTGCAAGAAACAAGGCGCTAATATTTTTTATTTTTAGAATATTTTTTTTAAATGTAATATTTCTTTTAAATAAATTCTCACTGGGCAGGGCATAACAAATTTTTAAAAAAAATTTTAAAGGCCAGGCTTGAAAAATTACGCCAGATGCAGTTCACTA